GGTTAGGGTTAGGGTTAGGGTTAGGGTTAGGGGTTAGGGTTAGGGTTGTGCTCCAACTCTGGCAAACTTTTTTGGCAAGGCCTCAAGGAAGCAAAACCTTAATAATTGGAGTATCATTACTTTAAGTGGTTGGCTGCAAAAATTCCTAATTTTTTAAAAATCAACTAATTTTAAAGTTTTTTTTTTAAATTCAGTGGTCAATTCCTTCCATATCTAGTGTTGGAGACAGCAGGTCCCCTTAAGTCTCGTGCTGTTTTCCTATATCCCTGTAGTAGTGTTGGTAAGTTCATCCTTAGGAGGAACTGGGTCAAGATCCAACCTTTCCTTTTCAACGTCATATGTTACTAGAGCATCTCTGATGATTTGAGATGGCCCAAGCAGGTGTCCTCCGCTAGAAAAGGACCTTAAGGGCTCCATTCTCCACCCCAGACACACACACAGACCGCACAAGGAATTTGAAGTCCAGTCTTATGGCTGGGAGCAAGCCAGAAACCTATATAATGTTTGTCAGAGTTAGTTAAAAAGGTCTACAATGTAAGGGTAGAGGTGAATATGTCCCCATGGAAAAAAAAATTCTTTCCCTCTTTCCCCTCTGAGGAACCACTGCTTTCCTATATAGGAAGGAAGCTTGCTTTTAACAGTAATACTGTGGCAGGAAGTAATGAGTGGGGCTGCTAGTGGGCTGAGCAGTTTCTGCAGCTGTGTTTGGCTCTAAGAATTCAAACTCCCTGTCCCACTGCCTATTAGCCTTCCAAGCATGGGGTCCCGACTGCAAATGGAAATCCCATTACAGCCCCCCAGGCAGCCCTTTGCTGACTTCAGTTGCTGAGTTTAGAGGAATTCTCAAAATGGTTCCTGTCTCTTGTTTAGTCCCTCCCAAATGGCAGCTACAAGGCCCTTACCGTGGGTGCAGAGCTGCTCCAGAGCAGGGTCCTCCTCTTGATGGGGCACCGGGTGTTCTTGTACAGGTAGACAGCATCCTCCAGGAAGATGATGACCGAGCCCAGGGCAAACAAGGTCATAATGACTGTAAGGGCAATTTCCGTAGGGCCCAGTGCTAAAGTGGAAAGAGAGGCAGACTCCCCTGAGCTAAAGTCTAGGACCGAGGGGCAGAAGATGTGGGCTTCTTCATTTGGATCTAAATTGCTTTACCATATCTAGAATTATCTGGTCTAGGCTCCCACCTATGCAGAAGAATGGCATTTTCTTAGAATATCCAACATGTGGCTAAATGTGGTCATTCTTCTGCATAGAGGAAAGACTAGACCAAATAATTCTAGGAATGGTAAGGCTTACCTCAACCAGGATATAGACACCAAACAAGTTTTTACTTAATTAGCAAAAATTTTGAATTAGGAGGTTGGCTGTGCCTAGTCAACTTTATTACTTTCCAGTGAAAGGTGTCATGCTAGCAGACATGGACCAATTAACATTATAATTAAAGCAGAATGTAATTAATGGTATACTTTAGGGCTGTTTAAATTTGATTTCAAAAATTATGTCATGAAACTGGGACATTGGGAAGGGATTTTTTTTAAAGATTTTATTTATTTATTTGACACAGAGAGAGAGAGAGAGAGCACAAGCAGGTGGAGCGGCAGGCAGAGGGAGAGGGAGAAGCAGGCTCCCTGAGGAGCAGGGAACCCCATGCAGGGCTCGAGCCCAGGACCCTGGGATCATGACCTGAGCCGAAGGCAGTTGCTTAACCAACGGAGCCACCCAGCCGCCCCAGGAAGGGATTTTAACAAAAGAGAAATGGATACACATAAAGACTCCAAAGACATTTGATTCATGTTGGCCTCATAATTAGTCTTAAATTAAATGTGGTTCAGTAGCTTTCTTTAGTGTTTATTGCAATCATTTGAGTAGTTGTTAAAAACTAGCTGTCCAGGTCCTACCCTCAGAGACGCTCCTTCAAAATCTTTGTGAAGAATGTGTAATATTTTTAAAAAACTTATTAGCACTCAATTAAAAAAACAAAAAAATTATTAACACACCCACACATATATGGTCATCTGATTTATCACAAAGACTCCACTACAATTTATGGGGAAAAGGATGTTTTATTCAAAAAAGGGTTCTGGGTTAACTGGATATCCTTTGGTGTATAAAAAAGAACATTGAGGGCGCCTGGGTGGCTCAGTTGGTTGGGCGGCTGCCTTTGGCTCAGGTCATGATCCTGGAGTCCCAGGATCGAGTCCTGCATCGGGCTCCCTGCTCGGCAGGGAGTCTGCTTCTCCCTCTGACCCTATCCCCTCTGATGTGCTCTCTCTCTCTCATTCTCTCTCTCAAATAAATAAATAAAATCTTTAAAAATAAAAAATAAAAAAAATAAAGGAGACCATTCAAAAAAAAAAAAAGAACATTGACCCCTCCTTCACATCATCCAAAAACACCTAAATGTGAGAGTTAAAACAATAAAGTTTTTAGAGGAAAACAGAGAAGTATATCTTCATGACTTTGAGGTGGGCAAAGATCTTTTAAAATAGGACACAAAAGCATGACCCATAAATTTAAAAATTGATAAACTGGACTTTCTTAAAATGAAATATTTTCGTTGGTCAAATGAAACCATTAAGAGAGTGAAAAGACAAGCTCAGACTGAGAGAAGATATTTGAAATACAGATATCAAACACAAGACCAGTATCCATCCATATATAAAGAATTCCTATCGGTCAGAAAAAGACAACACGATTTTTAAAAATGAAAAAAAAGGGGGCACCTGGGTGGCTCAGTCGTTAAGCGTCTGCCTTCGGCTCGGGTCATGATCCCGGGGTCCTGGGATTGGCCCCGCATTGGGAATCCCTGCTCCGCGGGAAGCCTGCTTCTCCCTCTCCCACTCCCCCTGCTTGTGCTCCTGCTCTCGCTGTCTCTCTCTGTCAAATCTTTTAAAATCTTTTTTAAAAAATGAAAAAAAAAAACCTAACCAGTTACTTTACAGAAGAAGATAACGTAAATGTTTATGAAGCATAAAAGGTGCTAAATATCAACAGTCATCAGGGCAACACAGATGTGAGATGCCATTACATACCCACCAAAAGGGCTAAAATTAAAAGGACTGATGATTCCAAGTGCTGATGAGGATAAGGAGAAAATGGAATTCATTTATTCAGCTGGGAGGGGCACAACCATTTTGGAAAACAGTTTGGTAGTATGTATTAAAGCTTAACATGCACCTATCCTATGACACAGAAATTCCACTCCTGCATACATATTCAATAGAAATGAGTGCTTATAAACACTGAAAATATGCTCAGAGCAGCATTATTCATAATGGCCCAAACTGGAAACAGCTCATATGTATTCAACAAGAATACAGATAAATACAGTTGACTCTTGAACAACCCAGGAGTTAGGGGCTCCCACCCCTGCACAGTTCAAAATCTGTGTATAATTTTTGACTCCCTCCAAACTTAACTACTAATAGCCTATGGTTGACTGGAAGCCTTACTGATAACATACTTAGTTGATTAACACATGTTTTATATGTTATATGTATTATGTTTTGTATTCTTACAATAAGGTACACTAGAGAAAAGAAAATGTTATTAAGAAAATCATAAAGGGGCACCTGGCCGGCTCAGTCGGTGGAGCGACTTATGATCTTGGGGTTGTAAGTTCAAGCCCCACATTGGGTGTAGAGATTATTTAAAAATAAAATCTTTATGAAAAAAGGGAAAATCTTAAGAGAAAATATATTTATAGTACTGTACATACATTTATTTAAAAAAATCCCCGTATAGGTGGACCTGCACAGTTCAAACCCATGTTGTTTATTTTTTTTAAGATTTTTTATTTTATTTATTTAACAAAGAGAGAGCACAAGTGGGGGAGCAGCAGAGGGAGAGGGAAAAGCAGGCTCCCAGCTGAGCAGGGAGTCCGACGTCAAGCTCGATCCCAGGTGCCCCAAACCCATGTTATTTATTTATTTATTTATTTATTTATTTAAGATTTTATTTATTTATTTGAGAGAGAGAGAATGAGAGATAGAGAGCACGAGAGGGAAGAGGGTCAGAGGGAGAAGCAGACTCCCTGCCGAGCAGGGAGCCCGATGCGGGACTCGATCCCGGGACTCCAGGATCATGACCTGAGCCGAAGGCAGTCGCTTAACCAACTGAGCCACCCAGGCGCCCCCAAACCCATGTTATTTAAAGGTCGACTGTAAATTGTGCTTTTTCCCACAATAGAATATACACAGCAATAAAAAAGAATAAACTACTGATATATGCAACAAAACAGATTAATCTTAAAAACATAATGATGAGTGAAGGAAGCCAGATACAAGAGTATATATATATATACCATTTGATTTTGTTTATATAAATTGAAGAATAGGGAAAAATGATCTATAGAGGTGGTAAAGGTTAAAATAGTGCTCTCAGGAGGCATAGTAACTGGGGAGGGTGTACAAGAGACCCTACTTGTTGCTGGAAATCCTCTATTTTTTGATCTAGGTGGTGGTTTCACAGATGTACACACAGGCAAAAATGCATCACAATATACACTTGAGATCATTACCCTTTACTGTATATAATTTATACTTAAAAAAATGTCTCATGTCAACAAAGAAGATTGCAAAATTAGCCCAGTAAAATTATAACCATGTTTGGGAAGAGAAAGGTAGAAAAGAGTTGAAGAGTGGGACACGAATATCTCTCTTTATCTTACAAAGTGCAAAGTCAGGAAGTACTGCCTGTGGTTGGCACAATAAAAAATTATCTAAAGGGATAATAAATCTATAAAGATAACCAACTAAAAATATTGACATAATTGTAGGGAGAACGGAAGAAGGTCAGGGCTGAGAAAGAGTGCACACGAGTCGGGGGGAGGGGCAGAGAGAGAGAAGAATCCCAAGCAGAATCCCCGCCCCCCCACCTCCACTGAGTGTGGACCCCCCCAACCCCCCCCCTGCCAGGGCTCAGTCTCACAACCCTGAGATCACAACCCCAAGATCATGACCTGACCCGAAATCAAGAGTCCCATGCTCAATCAGCTGAGCCATGCAGCTGTCCCAATTCAGTAGATTTCTCAAAACCAGTGTCGGTTGTGGGAAGGCAGAGTCACTGCTAGAGGCTCTCTTGGCAGGATTTGCCCACCCCTGCTTGACCCTTGTCCTCACAGGCTCAGGGAAAGCTGAGAGTGAAAAGAGCCCTTTCAAAAGCCAATCAAGGCCAGAGACGTTCCCAGTCTTCACTGTCTTGACTGCTCGCTCCTCTTTGAAAATCTGCCCCACCTTGACTCCCAGAACCACAGTCCCCCTCATGGCCTCTGACCCTAAGTTTCTGGCACTCATCCCCTCCCACGCCCTGTGTTCCCCATCTCAAACATTGCAGCTCCGGTCTTCTCTTTATTGAGATCTAGGATTTCCCTACCACTCCTTCAGCCTCGCAATAACCATGCAAGCTGGGCCGCCTCCAGAACTTGGTGGTGCTTGGTTTCTGCCCATTTAGCGTTTTTCCCTGAGCTCCCAGTGGCTGGCTTCTCCTCACTGAGTTCTCAGTTCAATGCCCCTCCTCAGCCAGCCTTCCCTGAGTGCCCTTGTGATGCTGCCCCCCCATCTGCCTCCCACAGTGAGGCTATTTACATATTTATTTACTTGCCTATTTTCTGCTGCCTCCCCCCCACCACCACCACCTTTGTAAACTCCTGGAAGGCAGAGACTTTGTCAAGCTTTGTTTGTTCTCTGTTCCATCTCCAAATGCATGGAACAGTAACTGTGGCTATTTGTTGAATGAAAGAAATAACTCCATGAGAATTCCTATTGTCATCTCCATTTTATAGGCTTTTCCAGGAAACTCGGCTTAGAGAGTTAAGCACTTGTCCATGGTCACACAGCCTGGAAGTTATGGGGCTGGGATTAAAACCCAGGGTTTTCTGGCTGAGCCCATACTCTTAACCATTTCGCACACTGACTCTTGGTGTGTGTTCTCATAGCTATGGGAGCGAATGTGGAGTGATATAAACAATGAAACCCAACCCTAAAAAGTTGTTTAAGTTTATGAAGTTGGGTGGGGGCATATGTGACTGTTCAGCACAGACGTGATTTTGCAGTCTCTTGTAACTTCTGGCTTTGGCACTCTATATTCTCTCTCCTACTTGTAGTATCTATACGCTCTTGTATCCACTGCCACAGCACAAAAGCTGAGAAAGAGAGAAGTTTCTTAGCATTCATAGCCTGACACTACTGCTCTCCATAAAACTCGTTTATCTTCTTTGAAGATTGTCCCCTACCTTATTTTTCTGCATCTTAATAGATATTATGGGACAAAAGTGTTCTATGGCCAGAGGATTTTTGGAAATGCCTTAAACAAAGTTAAACCTGTTGCTTCCCATACTCAAGTTTTTAATCTGATTTACACTGTAATTTCCTAGTGAAGGTTATAGAATATAGCTTTTACAAAACTTATTTTTCTGTAGATTCTGTGTTCATGAGGCACTACTTAAGATTAGTATTCCGAGAAACACGCTTTGGGAAATGCTTGTCTAACTGATCATTTTGAATTCACTTACACCTTTAGCAACTAGCAAATTTCCCACTGTGTCCACAATAGTGAAAATAACTTTTCTTAAATAATGAAAATAATATTAGAGCATTAAAATTTTGAAAGAGTATCTCCCATAATTCTAGTTAGTTCCCAACCAAAAGTTATTTTAGTTTTTGCATGTTTGTCTTCATGGGAGTTAAGAGCATAGGCTCTGGAGTCAGAGACAACTGAGTTCAAAGTAAAATCCCACCTACTGCTTGCTCTTGACCTTGGACAGGTTATTCATCCTCTCATTAACCTCTTAGCACAGCACCTGGCATGTAGTATTTGTTCAATAAAAAGTAGCTTTAAAAAACACCCTGGTTAAAGTTCATACCTATTGTATTACTGCAATTATACTGTAAGATTGCATACATTTTTGACTAGCATTTTACCACAGCCATCAAAAATGATTTTTATAATTATTTTTTAAATTACAAAAATTTCAAAATTAAAGAGAATAATAGAGCAAAAAGGAATATATATACCCATAACCCATTTTAAAGAGTGTTACAATATTGCCAATTTTGCTTCAAAAATTATTTTTAGAAACATAAAACATTACAGATGTATTTCAGGGCCCTTGTACATGCCTCCTGGATCATTTTCCCTTCCCTACCTCACCTCCCAGAGCTAACTACTGTTCTGAAGTTGGTGTATATCTTTTTCACTTATGTTTTAATTTTTCACAATATAGGTACATACTCCACATACTATATTGCTTTGCGTTTTACAAAATCTACATAAGTGGAGGCACCTAGGTGGCTCCGTCGGTTAACCGGTTAAGCGTCTGCCTTAGGTTCAGGTCATGATCCTGGGGTGGAGCCTGAGGGCCCCCCTCTGACTTCTTGCTCTGCGAGGAGCCTGCTTCTCCCTCTGCCCCTCCCCCACTTGGGCTTGCTCGCGCTCTCTCTCTCTCACTCTACTCTCTCTGTCTCTCAAATAAATAAAATCTTTTAAAAAAAAAACTACACAAATGGCATCATTCTGCAAAATGCTTTTCCCACCCAACATTGTTTTCATGATATTATTTTCATTACGACAAACAAATGCTTCCATAAATATTCTTGGCCGGGTCTGCTAAGCACATATGGGAGAGTTCTTTTATGCGGACACTTAAAATCAGAATTTCTGGGCTGGAGGAGATGAGAATCTGTCGTGCTGCAGCGAGCTGATCACTCTCCACAGTGGCTTTCCCAGTTAGGCTCCCACCGGTGGTCCACGAGCCCTCTCTGTCACCTCAGATTCACTGTAGGGAAATGTCATTGTTTCATTCACGGCTCCCTAATTCCTGAGTAGAGTATCTTTTTGTCCATTTATTGGTCATTTGGGTTTCTTCTGCTTGAACTGTCTGTTCACATATTTTACACACTTTGTATTGGGTAATTTCTCTTGTACTGACTTCTTATCCTTTGTTAGTTAGGCTTGAAAATATCTTCTCCCAGTCAGGGTGTGGCATTTAACGTTGTTGATAGTGTCTTTAGTTGTATAAAAGTTTGCTTATGGAGTCTATCTTCCTCATTTGTGCTTTCTTGTGTTTTATTTAAGAAATTATTCTCCACTCCCAATCATAAAGATATCTTTCTATATTGTCTTTTGTAAAAATGTGTGCATTTTGCATTTAGGTATTTAAGCTGGCTGCATTAAAGCTACGTTGGAGCGATTTTCACACGGATTTTTTTGTCCCAGGGACAAATACATTGTCCAGACCACTTCTTGAGGAGTCCGTTCTGCCCACTGGTGTGTGTGGCATCCCTTCACAGAGCGCGTGCCCAAGCGGGCTCTATTTCTGGGCGCCCTGTTCGGTTCTGTGTTTCTACTCGTTAGGCCCCTTGCACTTACTACTCATTGCTTGGTCTTATTATAAGTCGTAATCCCTGGTAGGGCAGGTACCCTCCATACACATTTTCAAAATTGTCTTGGCTTTTCCTGGCCCTTCACACTTTCACAGAGATGTTTGGATCAGTCCATTTAAAAATTCCTGTAGGGACTGTCATTGCAATCATATCACCGGCATTTCAAAAACATGTTTAGTAGTTCTCCCCGAAGACCTCCTCTTTAAATGGCAGCCAACTTAAGGAGCAACAGTTTACAGACGGAGGAGGAAGGGTTTTGCCATATCCTGAGGGCAAAGCCTCTTCCGGGCTTTCCGGTTTCT